AGGGAAAGATATTAGATAAATTTGTAAGAAGGCAAGGTTCATTGGGAAAAAAGTCAGAGTGCTGCTTTTGACTCCAGTATTGATTTCATTGAGAAGCCTGTTCCTGAGTTTAATCCTCCTCTGCTTGCCAGTAAAAAAGAGCAGCTAATAGGTGGGTGGCAAGCGCAAGATTGAGACGAAGAGCAGAGACAGCTATGCTGGGACTGGGAAAGCATTTTCATTAGCGATCCCTAGAAATGCAGTTGTTTATTTGTGAGGCTGTCTGAAAGCTTTAGCTGTGCTTGCGGCTGGGTGTGTGAGGACTCCCCCTGCACAGGAATGTCACTGTAGCAAGAGCTGGCATGTCCTCAGGTCAGAAAGGCAAATGTGCTCCTCAAATCCATCTTTCCAGCTGGGGCACAAATGCCAAATTCCCCGGGTGGGGTGAGAGGACAGTCACTGCCATGCAATGTCAGCAAGAAGGTAGCAGAGGCGCTAATTAAACAGCTCCTCCCTCTCTCAGGAATCAGCTTCCAAATCGATGTTGGCTTCTTTGCATTTGGATGAGGAAACATGCAGCAACATGACCCAGCTGTCAGACCCCTAAAACCTCAGCATCAGCTGTGGCAGTGGGAGGGTTCAAGTTTGGCTTCCTAGAGCATGAAGGGTGCACCACAGCCCTGGCAATGACCCATCGGGGTCTCCTGGAGCATCTCTCTTTCTGGAGATGGTCACTGGGGAACACAAATTTTACTCACAGGTCATCTCAAGTACCTGTGCAAATTAGTGTCTGCTGAGAGTTCGCTCCCCACTGTTTTGGACCATTTTGCTCTCAGGATTGTCTGCTCTGTGTTGCCTCTGGCATTAAAATCACAGGGAGGGCGCAATGACCCATCGGGGTCTCCTGGAGCATCTCTCTTTCTGGAGATGGTCACTGGGGAACACAAATTTTACTCACAGGTCATCTCAAGTACCTGTGCAAATTAGTGTCTGCTGAGAGTTCGCTCCCCACTGTTTTGGACCATTTTGCTCTCAGGATTGTCTGCTCTGTGTTGCCTCTGGCATTAAAACCACAGGGAGGGCAGTGGATGGGGATCCCTGTCTATGCAGTGTGCTTTCTAGTACAGTATCACTGCCGACACCTGCGGTAGCAGCCAGCTGAGGGCTAATGGTTTCCTGCATCTACTTTTAGCATTGTCTGCTGCTATTGTTCGCTCTTTGGAAAGATCCAGCAGCTGGGAGTCATTTCAGAAAGTCTGCCTTGCCAGATCCAGGGATGTGAGTCCCACTTGCCACTGCCAGGCAGCTTTTAATGGCTGGACGAAAAAGCTTTTCTCACCCAAGAGAGGAGTCACAAATGGTATTTGAGAAACGTTTTGAGATGATAGGTTTAGGAGGACGCTTGTATGGCTCTTACACTCTCGGAGTGCTTGAATCTGCAGGAAGATTTGTTGACATAGCTGGTTACATCAGAGCTGAACTCAGCCACGTGGCGCCTGTTCAAGTGGGATGTGGTGTATCCCTGTGTCCCCACGCGGCTCAGCACTGAGCAAATGAAAGGAGTTCTGGTGGGACACAACTGCTCCTGAGTCCTCTCCAGCAGGAGACATTGATGGCAAGTGTCACTACCTCTTCCACCTCTTAATAGTAAAAGTCAAACGCTTGACAACTTGTGTCTAATATTTGGGAAAGACGCTTAGTTGAGAGCTTTAGAAGGAAAATTCCTGAGATTATCCCCTGAGCAGCGTTCTTCCGGCAGCGTGTTAGTCAGAGCTGAATCAGAGTCGTCGGATCCTCTTGGCCCTCTCGGCTCTCAGCTTTTCCAACCCAAGTGCCAGTTAACACTAACACTGCAATGAACTCGGGCTCGCTGCGAGCCGAATCAAACACCCGACCTCAGTCACAAAATAAGCAGGATATTCTTTGGACTGTGGCAGATCAGACACTACAAAAACATTGGAGCCTGGCACACAGCTGATGTCTCCAAAAATGTCATGGCTTTCCAGCATCTGATTGCTTGCTTTGATCTCTGCTGATGAAGATGGATGTAATCAGGGAACCAGTCCCTGGTGGGCAACCGGGGATTTAATAGCAGAAGCTATTTTGCACAACCTGATGGTAAGTACTGTGCAATTCTTGGCACTAATGGAAACAAAGGCTGTGAAATTTCTTACACTGATTTCCTACCAGT